TGAATTACAAGCCGGATCAGAGACACGAGGGCACCTCCTACGAGACGACCTCGAGTCCTTCGTTCACGTGCTCTACTACTACGTCTTCCGCTACAAGCCTGTGTTCCCCGTGAACTCGGTCGATCACCGTCGGCTCATGGCGAGCATCAAAACCGTCTTCGAGGCTACCATGTCTGGCTCAGGCTGGGGGAACCCAGGCGGATACGATAAAGGACAGTATTTATGCAACACTTCATCGCACTTCGACACCCGCAAACTCCACCAGCACTTACGTCCAGAGCCGCTCTGTATGCTGATCGAGGACGCACGGCAGGCCTTCACTCCTCTCTACTCCGACCGACCCAGCGTCAACATCATCGGCTCGGAGCAAGTGAAGGCTGAGTGCAGGAAGGAATTGGAGGCGTACAAAGAGGCCTTGTCTGCTGCCAGCGAGCGTTTAGGGTCGTCGGCGCATATGATCTCAGTCTTCCGCACATGGACTGAAGAATACCAAAGCCATTGGAGCGAGAGCGACGGAGCTATCGACCAGCTGGCTCCTGTCACACGTACGGAAACGTCTAGGAGTAGCAGAAAGCGCTCTGCTGATGTCGATGTCGAGGCTGATTGTTCTTCGGGGAAAGCGCGACGACTTACCGTTGGACGCAGTTCAGCTGCTGGAGCTTCTGCACGAGCGCAGAGCCGAAGCCATACCGAATCAAATAGAGCCTGACACCCGATTTTCGTGTTGTATTTTGTTATATATCTCGCTGTCCGTACTCTGTTACATTACTTAATTGTATTCTCGACCATATAGTATTGTCAACCCTAATCAGTCGCATGTTCTGCTATGAGACCTTGAAGTTCATATCAATCACTGTCTGGCCAGCCTGGACTCGTTCCCGGCCATCCGCTCGCAAGTCTAACTCGCAGGCAAGCGAATCATGCCAGTGTGCGTTGTGCGAGGGCCGAAATGGACTTAAAGGTGTGAAACCTGCGGTAGTCACCAGGTATTTCAGGCAGTAAAGTAAGCTTTAGTACATACTTCGTGTCAGTAGGATGGATCAATGAAGATTGTATCGTTATACTATCTGACGGGTTCAGAGTTCAAGATAGCACAGTGCACACGAATAGCATAAACCAGTCAATTCATAGAACATAGCTTACATACATACAGAGAATATACATGGTGTGCATACTACATAGTGATGATATATATAGAGCACACGCCGATGACCCGGCCGCCTCGTTGCAATCGAATACAAAGGCAGTCTCCGCTACCGACGTAGACTAATCCCTAGCCACAGTTCAGTCTGATCGACCACGTCCACTTCCTCTGCTTCGTCACCGTCTTCTACGTCTACTTCCTCTGCTTCGCCACCGTCTTCTACGTTGCCTTCGTCACTTCCATCTTCGTCACTTCCGTCTTCGTCACTGCCATCTTCGTCACTGCCATCTTCGTCACTGTCATCTTCAAGTTCATCGTCTACCGCGCGACGAGAACTCGGTCCGAACACGTCTTCGGCGTCCTCAGCAAGCGTCCTCGCCCGTTTTTCTGGCCTCTCCAAGGCGCCAGTACCGGAGCCGTAGTCCGATCGACGCCGCTTGGAGCCAGTCGTGGCGCCATTAGCATAGTTGCCTTGCCAGGCGTCCGGTCCAGACGGCGGCCGGGTAGGTGAAGGGTATTGGTCGAAGGGTATGGCTCCCGGTACGGACCAAAGGCCAGCAAACTCTGGGGAGTCCAGGGCATCTTTGAAGATACTGATGAGAGGTTCTGAAGAGGAGAGGTTCTTTAGGGCCTGCTCGCGATCATGCTCCCAAGTCGCATGCGCCACTTCGTACGCCATCGTAGCGCTCTGACTGGTACGCATCACAGGCTTTTCCGGCTCCAACACGTAGAGGTTTCTGAAAAGGCGGCTTCCCGAGCGCATGAGAGCCCACATAGGGAGTGGCTTTACGAAATCCTCGAGTTCAGTCACTTTTATGTGGTAGGAGTTCCCGGCAAGATATTGCGCCTTGTCTGTACCGCCAGTGACCTCATTCTCCTCGGAGACTGTGAGTACGCTGGCGCCAAAGATCGCCCGTAAGCCGGTCAGGACCAATTCCTTCGCCCTTCGCACGCGCTCCGGAGGGCCTTGCAGTGGGAGGTACCGCAGCGCGTAGTATATCAAGATAAGAACGATGCTCTCGAGGTCGTCGCAGAGTAAGTGAGGGCGAGAATTAGGGTTCAATTGTTGGTTCGCGGATATGAATTGCCAGGTATGCTTTGAGAGTGCCGATGTTAGCATGCGGACCTCAACCGACATATAAGACAGGTACGTACGGGGCGTGCCTTCATCCGAGCGCCACCACCCGACTCCTCCACCTCTTCCCAATAGATTGATTGATCCCAATTAGTGAGTCTTCCTCTACCTTTCTCGTCTATGCGGATACTGGACGGCGTAATGGCTCGGTGGAGAATTTTAGCTTCCGAGTAAGCATTGGCGTGCGCTAAGATGATACGCGGGTCAGCTGAAGGTGGTTAAACAAGCATAAGGAGCGACTGACAGTCTGTCACGTCGTACAACACTTGAGCCAGCTCTTTCGGAGATCTGAAAGTATCCAGCGTCCGAACGACCGTGGTGTAGAATACGCGATGAAGGATGCGCGGCACCATCTCGAGACGCCTCTCGTCCACTTGCCCAACATTAGAGGCCTTTCGAACGTACTTTGGGTAGGCTTTGGCGAACTTGTCCGTGTACGTAGACGTATAAGTGAGCGCGTCATGTTCTTCAGGACTGAGCGGCTGGCAACCCTTCTCCACGTAACTGGCATGTAAGTGGTCCGAGTCTACAGGGACATCCCAGCCGAAGTCGAGGTCGAGTAGATGAGGGACACCGAGGTCCTTGAGTTCCCTATGCCTAGCCGTCTCTGAGGGCATATCTGCGACATCTGGGCGCCAGTACTCTTTCATCGACATGACAATCTTTTTGTCAATATCAACAACCGTGAAGTAGCGAGCGCCGTCGCCAGCTAGTCCACCCGAGGTGTTGTAATCCATGGGGCGATGCGCAACAAAGCGGCGGAAGTGGCGTGTATCGGGGCAATACTGCAATATCAAAGCAAGCTTGCCGTGATCGGCAGGAAAAACGTCCTTTTCCTCCATGCCATGGGGTAGTTTCCCGGCCTTTGCCCATGCTCGAAATATCTTCCTGGCCAGTTTAGCGTTCTTGGACTGGGGACCAATCATCTTCACAGAAGTGTCCCGACCACGCTGGGCAGGCGTCATAGCATCAAAGCAGGACACGAAAGACAACAGATGCCCGGTGTTGCGCCAATCAAAGAGCTCGCTGTATAGGACTCCAGCACGATCGAAGCGAAAGAGACGAGCTTTATGACCCATGATGACGAAACTGTAAACACAGGTGCGAAAGGAATTGGAGAACATGACAATGCTGTAGGTGATGAATTGGCCTCTCGACTGCCGCGCTATATCTATATCGCGCGTCTTGAAGCGTACGGTGCCAGAGAGTCCGCCGCACGGGTCTTCGTGGGTGGCCTTTTGATCTGCCCAGAGTTCCATAGCGGCTAAGAGGATTCTCAACCGAAGAGATGGAGATATCTTCGCGTTTATGAGGTAGCTGAGCAGAGAAAGATCAGGAGCATATGTTTCCTTGGGGCTGTTGATATCTTCGGCCATCGAAGTGTGTGTGTCGGTGGGATGAAGTTTCTTGCATACTCCGCTATCCATAATAGCCTTGCACTGATAGGGATCAGCGATATACAAGATCGCATGATTGAACAACTCACGAGAGCGTTTTCTCCATTAGTGTTGGGAACCTTCTTCTCGGTGAAAAGCTTGACAGATATTTTCTTCAGGTCGTCCGCGGTACGAGACTTCACAAGCACACTCGCTGGGGTAATCTCAGGTGTGGAGAACCAGTGGTGCATTTTGATAGGCCCGACGAACAACCCTTCAGTCTGCTGAGAGCGCTCCTTATACACCCCTTTTCTGAGACGATCCTTATCCGCCAGAAGCATGAGATCCCAGTCAGGGTATGCGGACGGCGGCGTGAAGTCGAGAGTTGCTGTCGCAGGCACGGGTTTCTGTACGGGGGTAACAGGATCTGTGGTTGACGGGCCCGCGTGCACCGGAGAGCCGGCAGCAGGAGACTCGGAGGACCGCGCTTCAGTAGAACCACGGCGGCGATTCGACCCTCTCTTCGATTTACTACCACGTCTGTTCGATTTATTACGGCCACGACCTCGAGAGCTGCTGGCAGGAATGGTGGCGGAGATAGCGGCTGGGGCGCTACTACTACTGGCAACGGTGGCCGCATTCTCAGCGGCGACCCGCGAGCCTACAACCACGGCTTTAGCTGGGGCTGTAGTATGAACGAAAAGGATAACACTGACGCGTACGAGGCCTCTGGCGCTCAGGGTCGCCGCTCATCGCGATCTCTCGACCAGACGAAAGAAATGAAGGATAGAGTCGGCAAGAGACGGTGGTGAGTAGAGAAAAGCGCGGGTGGTCGCCACACACAAAATAAAGAGGTTTATCAACTTTCATGCTGGTGTGGTTGAATCCCACGGCGCATGACTAGGACAAACAAACAGAGAGCAGGCTTCCAGAATCCATTGCCTCGTGCGGACCATCACCTCGAGGCACAGCATATGCAGCCCATTGTTCGCGGGTGAGCCCGAAGTAAGCCCGACAGAACCGGTCTGCAGATGGACATCCTACGAGACAGAAGGGCGTTCTACCCACTACTGCACAACCAAGACGTATCTAGACGACAACGCGAGAGTAGTTGCGCGACTCATGAGGGTCAGAGCAAAAAGGCAGTTGCCGTGCTTCGATATCATTCAAGCCGCATCAGCGTTCCTTACCCACGCCTCTTTTGCGAGTTCGATCAGCATAACCATGCGCACACGATAGGATAATCAATGGTTGGCCGTACTGGTCTCCAGGATGAGTGACAACTCAGTACTTTGTTTGGATACCATCTGCTGTAGACGAGTTTGGCCCTTTCACGTTGCAAAAATGGACCCTCCGAGAATCGAACTCGGGACCCTTGCATCTCAAGTTATGGTAACCGCATAAGTACAAAGCTCTACCGATTGAGCTAAGGGTCCTTGGGTGAAGCAGCACATCATAAGTATACGATTTACCTACTGATATCGTAGCTCGTACAGTACTCCGAGATAACGATCATAGGATACAAGAAAGGTAAGAGACCACCGACAATCTAAACATTAAGATGGCCCGTCTGAGACCGCGACTCGTGATTGAACAACTTCTGCTGAGACGAGATCGACGGCGAGCGGGATGTTCCAATAGACGAAGACGCGCGGGACGGCGAGAACGAGCTCTCCTCTTCAACGGCACGGGGCGTGAGGCGAAGGTAGCGAGTACCAACTCGCATAGCCTGTTCGTCGGAGTGTGTGATCCATATGATGGCCTTCAGCGACGATTCCGGGTTGCGGACTTCGTTCACGAGCGTCTCTTCGACTATGGCGCTTGTCTCGGCGTCTAACGCAGAAGTCGGCTCTGATTCGCGATAAGCATTATGTCTGCAGCAAGAGATACCCAATCGTACCGTCGAGAAGCAGCACCTCGGCCGTGTTCCACCCAAAGCCGATAGCGAGCGCAATCCTCTGAGCCTCTCCACCACTGACAGTGTTCCAAGGACGATCCCAGAGAGCGTCATCGACGTCCCACTCACGGGCAACGCGCAAGATCCGCTCAAATACGTAGTCATAAGGTGCACCGCCCGAACGCGCCTTTAAGCCCGCGAGCTCTTGCACGAATTCGCGCGGCGTGCCGGGTAGCATCGACGGGCGCTGGGGGATGTACGTCACTAGCGTGCGGAAACGCGGTACGCCTGTCCATACCCGGAAGTGTAAGTAACATATACGATGGCAGGCGTGTACGAAACGCACCGATAGACTTTGCTGTCCTGTGTGAGGAGAGTCCGAGTTAGCGCGCGCGAGCAGGGGCGGGAGGTGCCACTCGCCTGCCGCGATACAGGACTTCGCCCGAGTACAAGCCCAGATGCGCCAGACACTTCACCAGTGTAGACTTTCTGCACATACCGTAAGCTGCACAGCCTAAAAATCATACGACTGAGAGCACGAACCCAACACCAGACCTGGCGCGTAAGACCGCTATATCGCCCTCGTGCAGTTCGAACGAGGCGCTTTGGAATATAGCATTCCCATCATTCGTTACGCACTTGACGTTCTTGACCGACAACAGCGGCTCCTCTCTTTCAGTCAGCGTCGCACCAGGCATCGTACAAACGTAAAGGTGAAGGTGAGGGTTCGCGACAACCCTTGCCCCACACCCGGCGACTATGCACGCGAAGCGCTTTCTCATTCTGCTCCCGGTCCTCTCACGAGTCACGCTGCATGCAATTCATTTCAGGATTCGGATTCGGGACAAAAGAGCACTGCTGGAATATGATGTTCGAGGTACGGTGAGAGCAGTGAGTACGGTCCATTATGAAAGGTCTTCTACACTATAGAGTCAAAGCCAAGGAGTCCGTTACAACGGTCATAGCACCGAGCCCGGCGGCGGCGGTACCATGCCCATCTCCTCGGGCGTCAACGACGAGCTCTCGATCTGTACGCCCACACCGATCTTCGCGGCGTTCTAGATGAGAAGTTAGCATATGGTTCGTATGCGTAAGAACTTCAAGAAGCGTACCTTGAAGTGGTCAAGCTCGCCACCGACCGAGAACGTGAACGTCGGCGCGATCTTCTGCTCAAGAAGCATCCCGACCTTACCCGTCGAGTCGATCTGCGCACGAAGGGTGCTCAACCGAAGGTCATACTTGGCTCCGATAGTAGCGATAGCGTCCCTCCTCTGCGGCGCAGAGATGAGCTGTAAGTCCGCCGCAGCGTCGACCTTATCCGAGAGTTTATGCCAGTAAGTGGCCTGGATGATACCCATAGGCTGCACCTGCGCCGTCGCAATCCAGCTCTTGTCTGTAGCGGCGAGACGAGCGAGGTAGGATGTCGACATGTCGGACATATTCGGGCCGAGGTTCTGGTAAAGGGTCTCGACGCCCAACGCGATGTTCTTTGTCACACTCTGGAGGTAGGAACCAATGTACATTCCGGAACCGTCCGTCGGGGAGGGGTTGACTGCCTTCAAGTTAACGCTGAAGTCGCGGCCGAGGTAGTCGTGCTCGAGCTGGAGCATGCTGTGGCCGGGCGTCGAGCTGAACTGCGGAGCGTCGTCAACACCAAAAACCCAGTGTGCAGGGTCGTTACACATACCTGTCCCTGCACCTTCGACACGTTATCCTGAGACCACTCATTATTACAGCGCATGCTGACATTGCCCTCGTTGTCGACGTTGCCCTGCATGAAGAACTGTGTGCTGTCAGGTACACGTCATAAACCTAAATGAACTGTAGAGTGCATACCTTTTGTGTCGCGTAGACGGTCGAGAGGTAGTAGGACGAGGGCTGGGTCTGCGATGCCAGCTGGAACGAGTGCGTAACCTGGAATGCCGGGTCGACGGACAGAATCTTGCTCAGGTCCGCTCGTGCACCGTCAAGGGGGTTAGAGATAATAGTCACTGAACACAGCAGGCAGTAAGTACAATGCACGCATATATAGCAAACGAAACTACGACATACTCTTAGCCTCCTGCCCAAGCTTCTCTATTGAGCCAGCGTTCGTCAGACCCAGTGACGCGCGCCAGTTCGCGAAGCGGTTGAACGCATTGGTGACGGGCGACAAGACGCCACCGCTTTTGGACGTCGACGCCGCAGGCGCGTCGGTGAGGACGGGGGGCGGGTACGGGATGGTGGCCATGGTCAGAGACAGAAGGTCGTGGCGTGAGCGAACCCGAATATCCTGCCGTCGCCGCGACGCGACGCGCTTCAGAAAAGTGACGTTGCAAACATTCCCAGGGTCCCATATTGTTAACGCTGGCAACTGCAGTGGGCGAAGGTTCTACATGTATGAATGAGGACGGAGCTCGGCCTATTCTGTAGGTCTGCGTGCCTGCATAAGGCGTCGTCTAGTTGCTATTGTGACCACGGCGGTGATCATTTGCCTTGTCTGACACCTCTTTCATGACCTTCACTTCACTCAGGTTGACAGTTAATATGGTCGCAGCAAGTGATAGATATCCTGTATTCTACACTACCAGTATACCAAGGCATCGATTCGTAAGCAAGCCATAACCGAGGGGGTGCACCCTTCCATCGTTCGTGAGATCGTTCGTGAGGCGTATAGTAAGGAGGAGGGGAGGTATCGCAAGGCTACATTCGAGAAGAGGGGACAAAAGCAGATGGAAGTAGAGGCACACTTGAGTATGTAAGATGAAGCAAGGTTTATGCACGGTTATTGGACTCGACGATGCACCGGCATCGCTGCGTGGACAGTAAAAGACAGAAGAAAGAGAACAAGAAAAGAGATGGAGGCATAAAGCGAAAAGGAGTCGATAGTCGATACAGAAACACCCAGCAGTCGTTACGCAGAAAATCGTTCGTTTCATCACATTCGTTCTCGGAAACACGGAGGCCCGCTCGTGCTTTACCACCAGCGCTCGGGGGCAGGCCGGAACTGAGCGGGAGGGTACGCCGCCGCCGGAGGAGGCGGCGGAGGCTGGCGGCGGACCTTGCGCTGCGCCACCTTGACGGGAGGAGCCGGCTCCTCGTACTCCTCGATGTACTCCTCTTCCTCGATCTCGTCGTGTATGATCTGCTCCTCGTGGTGAACGACAACCTCGACAGAGGTCGTACGGGGGAGCGTGGCGGTGGACGAAGAAGTGAACGCGTAGGGCGCGGGTGTAGCTGCGCGGCGAGTGGGAGCAGGCGGAGGAGTCGAGGGCTCCATGGAGGCGGTAGGTGTTTCGATGCGAATGTGAGTTTGGGTTTGCGTAACGGTACGGATGACTGGTTCGGCGACGACGGTTTCGGTGTAGACAACAGGCGGGACTTCCTGTAAAGCAGAGAACGCTGGTCAGCGAACGGGTTCATGACGCGGTGGGGTGGGGACACTGCAGCCCAGATGCCGGTCCGCAAAACTTTCACCCCGGTGACCGGTGCCGGCGAACGGCGGAGGGAATAGCCCACATCTCGCGTGCCAAAAGCATCACGTGGGGTATGTTCGAATCGCAACCGCGTTTAAGACGCGTCGCGACGCGTCGTGGGTTCTGGATCGGCATCTGGGCTGCAGTGGGGACAGGGGGACAGACAGGAAGAAAGAAAAACAACCGTTGTCCCCCAAGCCCGGACGAAGGAGGGGAAGGAGGGTATGGGGAATTAGACGGCAACTGACTCAAACAGAAAGAAATGGAGACGGTTTTGTCGGAAACCCTCCTTCGTCTCAGAACTCGGGACGGCGTTGGTGGAAAGGCGGTTGTACCTTGGGCTTAACACGACGGGGAGGGGCAACCGGAGGCGGGGGAGCGACAGGCTCGTCGTAGTACTCGTAAACATCCTCGACGGCGGGTTCATTCGCCGCGTTGATGTTCCTGGTTGAAGAAGGATACGTCAGTACAACTGCGGTTCGAAAGTCAAGAGATGACACGTACGCCAGTTGCTCCATGATCCACGACTCGCGACGGGACGCGTCGTGTTCGCGGCGGTTGACGGTCTCTTCACGGCGGCTAATATCACGCTCGCGCTCGGCGATCTTGAGTTCGCGAGCGAGGATGTCGTCGAAGCGGTCGTTGCCGTCCTTCCACCATCCAGGCGGAGTGAGAGCGTCTTCCTTTACGACCTCCTTGATGACAGTCTGAATGGGCGGGGGCGCCATCATGATGGGCTCGGGTGCGACCTTTTCGACGACACAGGGCGCGCAAGACGGTGCGTTGGGGATGACACCACCGGGAGCACCGGCCAGAAGCTCGGCTTCACGGCGGGCAATCTCGGCCTCGCGGATGGCAATGTCACGCTCGCGAGAGATGAGCTGCTGGGAGCGCTTGGGTGTCAAGACCGCCCATGTGCCGGGGTTGTTTGGGTCGACGGGGTTGCCGCCCACAGCTGCGCCGCTCTGGTTGGGGAGCGAGAGCATGACTGCGAGGACGGCGAGAATGAGAGAGAGTACGAGGAGAAGGGTCGTTGAGGAGATCGTTCTTTGGCGGTGGCTTGAGGAGCGCTCGGAGCGACGGG